GCAGAACCAACTAGCCTCAATTTTCTTATTGAAGAATGGGGGGAGGGGAGCAGGCACACTCTCTGTAGCTGTTACCAAAGTCAGCAGGAAAACATGGACGCAGCATGTGATGCCAGCTGGCATTCAGCTATAGCTGAACAACATGGGAATCAGTGCTGACATCAATGGCACAGAAGTGCTGGCACTACACATACCCTACAGCGGAGCCTGCCTTGACCACCACTGCCATAGTGCCGTCTGCAGCTTTCCAGAGTCTTGTAAGAGATCACAACCGACAAATTCTGTTTTAGGCCGAAATGAACAACAGCCAGGGGCTGTTCACTAACCAGAGTGCCACTCAGTTAAAAGGAACTTGAGCCGGTGTGATGGCTAATCTTTGTTGTCAGTCATAACACCTAGAATTAACTAAAACCCAAGCAGCTGGGCACACCTGTGAGGGATTTTTCTTGATTGGAAAACCCAGTCTAACTCTTGGCCATACTTTCTGGTGGCACACCACATAAAAGGCCATGGAGGAAGGAAGCTCTTGCCAGTTTGCCTGCTTCTCCTCACTCTCACTGGCAACTTTACCAGTCCTGTTCCTACGACCCCCTTCACTCTCTTAGGACCTACTTCTCTGGAATTCCAGCATCGACTGAAAACTGGCAACTCTCTAGGACGTTCCTAAGACTCCAGCACCTGGCTTTGAATGCTGAGACATCCAGTCTTGTAGACTGAACAACTTCCAGGCCTTCAGTCTTTCTGCTGGGAGTAGCCTCTGTTGGACTACTCAGACCATGACCTGTATGCCACCCTTAATATACATATGTGTGTGTGTGTGTGTGTGTGTGTGTGTATTCTGTTCCTTAGAGAGCCCTAAAACAGCTGGTGAGGTTACTGGCTGAGACAGACCTGAGATCCATGTGGCAGAAATGCCCTTGCTGGTATGTTGATCAGGCTGGCTTCGACCTCACAGAGATCCACCTGCCTCTGATCCCCAAGAGCTGGGATCAATGGTGTGTGCTGCCATTTCATTATTCTTACAGTTCAGTGTTACGATTTCGGGGCCAGCCTCTCACTCAGCTTGATTTTTCTCTATTTGTTTAATACATACGGGCGTTTGGTCTGCAATGCTGCCCATGTACCATGTGTGCGTCTGTGGAGCCCAGAGAGGGTGTCACATCTCTTCTTGGGATTAGAGTTACAGGTGGTTGTGAACCACCATGTGGATGCTGGGAATCAAACCTGGGTCCTCTGCAAGAGTAGCCAGTGCTCTTAACCACTGGGCTGTCTCTCCACTTGAATGTCTAGAGCAGTGGTTCTTACTCACAAATTCTGAGACCCTTTAATACAGTTCCTCACCCTCTGGTGACCTCAACCATAAATTATCTCATTGCTACTTCATAACTGTAATTTTTGCTACTGTTCCGAATAGGAGTATAAATATCTATGTTTTTCGATGGTCTCGGGTGACCCCTGTGGAAGAGTCATTCTAACCTCAAGGGGTTGTGACCTCACAGGTTGAGAGCTGCTGATCTAGAGCCTCACTACTCAGAGTCCTGCTGACAACCAGTGACCCAACCTCCTCCCACACCTGCACATACCCTCTCTCGTGTCTGTGACTTTTGTCAGCCTTGCTTCTACTATCAAGTATGGGTGTACATGCACATTGTTCATGTACCAGTCTTCTACTTGGACCTATAGGCGTCCAGACTGCAGACCACACCTGGGTAGGGGTCTTGTGTATAGTCAGAGCCTGAGACATTGGGCTGGGAGAGAAGCTCAGTTGTAGAGCACTCTGCTAGCGTGTGCCAAGGCTCTCCAGCACCACACACATAGAAAGGGAAGAAATAAATACCATTGTCACAGCTAACGGCTCTTAAAGTTCTTATAATTTATTACATTTATTTACCCATGTGTGCCTGCATGCATGTGGGCCGGCATGCCACAGCAGGCGTGGAGGCCAGAGGAGAGGTGGCAGGAGCTGGTTCTGTCCTCAACTATGTGAATGCGAAGGTCAGGTCAGCAGGCTTTGCTGCACGTATCCTTATGCACGGAGCCATCTTGATGGCTCCTAAGGTCCTTATGATTTTAAACTTTAATAATTAATTTTAATAGCTACTTCAATAATGAATAGTTTTCACAACTTTAAGTAATAATTAAGAGTTGTAATAAGCTTAATTAAAGCCTTAATAACCAACTTTAACAACAAATTCAGGCACAGACAAGCTGGCATAAGGAGCTACAGGGTTAGGGATGCTGCTTGGTGGTGGGGCCGCTGGCCAACATGAGCCTCGCTGAGCTCACGCTGCACATTCAGTCCACATGTTCTGAATGTTCTACTTATGTACCCTACATACTCAAGATCTCACAAGGTGTGAAACCTTACTTTAAAAAAACGAATGTAGCTATGCATGAGAGCATGCCTGATCTATATAGGGGGCTCTAGGCCTGACAGAAGGACACAAGAACTTGTCTTTGAAAAAAAAAAAAAATGCTTTCAAGGGCTGATCCAGTGCTGGCTGGAGTTTGGTCCTGTCAGCCGGAGGCTGCATAGATAACCTGACCCCACTGTGTAGTTACTAAAGTTAATAGAAATTTATTAATATCATCAGAGTCATCCCTTAAGTTTTTCTAAATCAAAGATGAATTTTTATAGCTAGATTTCTAGGTGAACATTTTTTTGGGTAGATTAAAAAAAAAAAGCTCTCAGAAATAAAAAAGTAAAAATTTCATGCCTGGGGCCTCACACCCAAATCAGATGTGTGCAGAAAACTTTGACTTTTTAAATGTTTTTAAAGGGCTGGAGAGATGGCCCAGTGGTTAGGGGCACGTACTGGGCTTGCAGAGGAGCTGAGCTCAGTCCCTGGGAGCCACCTCCTGACTCCGGTTCAGAGGGATCTGGTGCCTCTCGTCTTCATGGGTACCTGCACACATGCGCACATACCCTCACGCAGACAGCCAAACAGAATCTTTGAAAGCTCGTCTAGTGCCGTCTTTTTTATTTTGGGGGGGGGGGCACGTGTGGGAGATGAGAGGACAATACTGTGGAGTCGGGTCTCTCCTCAGGACTCACATGTTACCAGGCACACGGGTGTCTTCACCCGCTGAGCATCTCCTAGGCCCTGCAGCTGCCTCTGAAGTCACTTTCAGACCATTTACCCACTCAAGAATTACATCATTTACTTTCAGAATCTTAAGTCTGGAGTGTGGCATGTGCCTGTAATCTCAGAATCCAGCAGGCTGTGAGGTACGAGAGTTCTGAGCTCTAGTCTAGCCTAGGCTGCACAGTGAGAGGCTATCTTAGAAGAAAATAAAAATCTACAGGTAAAATAGAGTAAATGGAAAGCCGTGTTAGAGACTTCACCAGCTCCGTTCCCTGCCTCCTATGGGGCCTGTGATATTCAGATACGAACTTTTCAGGAACTTGATCATCTTACAAGTCCTTTCCTGAACGACAAGTCCAATGGTAGCCATGAATAAGTGACTTTTATAGAGGCTGGTATTATTCATAAAAATAGTGACTCCACATCCAGAAAAGGGGCAAGTGTGGCCTAAAAGAGGCAAGTTGTATCTTTATAAATCCACAGGCTGCTCCTCAGGTCTTCTGCTACAGCAGCACATGGTCTCTTCCTCCGCGTGTTGATCAGGCACATTAGTGACCCGAGGTCTGGGCTTTGGCTTGACAAAGAAGTTTCATACAACAGAGTGAACTGGAGGATTTCCCAAAAAAACAAAACCGGGTACCACCCACCGTCCAACCTCCCACCTCAGGACCACTGACTCTTCCTTTCTACCATTTGCAAGCCTCCTTACCCTGACCATTTGAGAAGGCTATCAAAGGACTAGAAGGATAGAAATGGTTTTTACTTTTCCATTTTTAGACCTCTGGGGATGTTAGAGATATACTAGCTGGTATATTCTTTTGCCACAATTTTCTTTTCTTGAATCTAGTTTCAATGACTACATGAATCAGCTCCTACTGACCCGAATTATACTTTATAAATGTGGACTGAGCATTATCTTTCCAAATAAAAGTGCCCAGACTGAAATATCCTGTCGTCCTTCCTGAGAGAATGGCATATACCGCGAGGAAAAGGCCATCTTTGTACAGAACAAATGGACCGAGGGAAATCCGCTTTCCTCTCTGCCCTTCTTTACACAGCCACCGCCAAATGACATGTTTTATCATTTTAAAAATCTGGCTAACAGACTGAGCAAAGAGCCCTTTCTTCTAGGTTTCACAGTTTTCTCAACTTGAGACCTGCGTTAAAGCACACTGAGGTTGGAAGAGTGGCGACAGCAGGAGCAGTGAGCCCATAGGCCTGGCTGGCTCTGCCTTCCTCCTTCCCTGGAGCCCTCAGTACAGACCATTCTAGGCCAGTGGGAGAATGATCCCAGGTCCCAGAAAGACCTCCACATCACAGTACAAGCGCAAGCTTCCTGACCTGAGGACAAGCACACAGGGCAAGTAGCAGGCTTATAATAAAGAAGGGGAAAACTCAGCTAGAAGCTGGGCAGAGGCAGATGGATCTGTGACTTTGAAGCCAGCCTGGTCTGTACAGAGAGTTCTAGGATAGCCATGACTACACAGTGAAATCCTGTCTCACAAAACAAAACACAAAACAAAAGACAACCCCTCCAAGGTTTACTTTATTTTTAAGTTATGTGTGTATGTACCTGTTGGCGTGTTCATTTTTTGGTGGGGAGAGGTGTTCAAGACAGGGTTTCTGTGTGTAGCTTTGGCTTCCCTAGAACTGTAGACCAGACTGGCCTACAACTCAGAGATCCCCCTGCCTCCGTCTCCCAAGTGCTGGGATCAAAGGTGTGTGCCACCACCAACCAACTAAATATGAAAATTTTCGTTGAGCTCACCCACCTGGGAAGCACCAGGAAATGTGAGCCACGGACCTGGACATTCCTAGTTCTTAAGAACCCCGACAAAGAGAGTGGAAGCCCACAGCCCAGGAGCTTAGTGCTCAGCCCCCCCCCCCCCCCCCCCCCGAGCCCTTAAGCCTTACTCTGGCAGGCAGGGATATCGCAGTACTTCCAGTAGACGCCGTCCTCATGCTCCGCCACATAGCACCACGGGCTCACGTCTCCGTCTGGGTTTCTGTTGGGAGCAAGAACACCCTGAAGATGCTGCTTGTGCTTCACGTCACCTGGCCTGCTTAGCTTTCCAGTGCCGAGGCCCCATCACTTCTAGGAACTGCTGTGCATTTCAGTGTCCTCTCTCCTCAGGAATGAAAACATGAGCTGGCCACAGTGGCTCAGACTTGTAACCCCAACACCCAAGAAGCTGAGGCAGGAGGATTGCTACAGGTTCCAGGCCAGCCTGGGCCACACAGCAAGACCCTGTCTCAAGCAAGCAAACAATAAAACTACAGATAATACAATCCTCCTGAGCTTGGAAAAGGTACATGTGAGAAAAGATTTAATCTCAATTTTTGTTTTGCTTTGCTTTTTTCAGACAGGGTTTCTCTGTGTAGCCTTGGCTGTCCTGGACTCACTTTGTAGACCAGGCTGGCCTCTAACTCACAGAGATCTGCCCACCTCTGCCTCCTTAAGTGCTGGGATTACAGGTGTGCACCACCACACCTGGCTTGTTTTTATTTTTGGAAACAGGGTTTTTCTGTACAGCCCTGGCCGTCCTACAGACACACTCTGCCATTGGGATGAAAGGTGTGTGCCACCATTTCTTGCTTAATTTCAAATCTTAAGAATGTTTATTTCTAGATGATACAATTATTGACAATTTTAGGGTTTTTCTTTTTCTTTTCTGGTATTATTTTCTACCTTCTTCAATAATGAATATCCCAAGTGTGTAGTTTCTGAACAGCCAAATAAATTCACACAACACAAATTCAGCTGGTAAGCCTGCTCAGCCTAGAATGACTAACTCAGGCACGATAGAAGGGCTGCGTACTCCTCCACCACCACACAGACCCCGCAGAGGCTTCTCAGCCGGGACACGAACTTCTAACTCCCACAATCATGTTTTCTAAAGATGTATTTCCATGTTCCCAAGTGAGAACATCTTGGAGTAAATGATCTCCAAGGTTGTTTTGGTGCAGAGACATCAGGACAACAAAGGGTGACACTGGTGAAGCAGTTCCACAAATGGCAGGGCTGCTACAGAGAGCAAAGCCCGCCTCTCTTTACCCCTTCCCAAGCCCCCTTTATTTAGAGCAGAATACTGGAAACCTGACACTTCAGTTAGGCAGGAAATGGGCATGAGGACACCCCCATCCTCCCCCTCCCGGCTTTACAGCAAGCTTAAGTGGACAAGCCCTTTGTGTGGCCTAAAAGATAAGCTTCCCAGGCACAAAGGATTCCTTTCTTTTTTTTGTGCCCGAAGGCAGGTGTGAGGGGCAACACTGCGCTTCCCTGGCTCTGCCTCCCTGTCTAATCCAGATACTTCAGACCCAGCCAGGAGAAGGCAGTTCATCACTCGATAGCGTGTAGACATCTCAGATGTGATGGATCTGAAAAGTCACACAAGGCAAACATGGTGTCAGGTGTCAGCTGAGAAATCAAAGTGGCCGAGCTCGTACAAAGCCCTTCTTTAAACAGAATGTCACCGTCATCTTCCTCCTGTGTTCCGAGTTCAGCTTTGATGTAGTATTGGATAAAACCCCTAGACAACGAGTGTTTATTGTCAATGTCAAAGCCATTTTGAAAAGCATCCGAATAGCTTAATAAAGAGCAGGCAAAGCCATCCTTACTTCTCCGCAGCACTAAAGGAGGAGGGTTGGCCTGATGTGATACCATCAGTTCAGCCTCCTTCTCTTCTGAAGTATAAACTGGTAATTCAGGTCTGGTACATTCCATCAAATCAGATTGCTATAGCCCAAACTACTAAGGGGGAAGGTGCTCCCAGCCCTCAGGTGCAGCCCTCCCGTGTGCTTATGGGTACACTCCTGCAAGCCTGTGAGTTGAGCAGACATGGGCACTCATCTAATTGGAAAAAAAATTTTTTTGTTGCTCTCATTGGAAAGTTAAAATTTACCTTAAAGTCAAACTTAAAAATAGCTCTTCTGATATTTGAAAACATTTATTTAGAAATTAACAGAGTAAACCTACTGAGAGACACCTCAGGAACAGCACAGTGGCAGAACATTTTCTCAGCAAAGCAAAGCAAAACAAAACAAAAACACCTTAGAAGACAACAAGTGGCCACAGAAGAAAACAAAGACAAAAACAGTAGACAGTAATAAAACCCTTACTCATTTCTCTGCCTAAGCTCCCAGAAGCCCAAGGGAGCTGCCTGTCTCTGCTTCCCTGTGTTGGGATTGAAAGAGCACAACCGTGCAGAGCTTTTTTTTAATGTGGGATCTGGGGATCAAAGACAGATTTTTGGCAAGCACTCTCCCGAGCTGTCTCCTTACTTTTTATTTAACGTTCATTTACTTATCTGTAGGCACACTTGTGCTGAGGCACACATACAGAGCTTGTGAGAGTTGGCCCTCTCTTTCTGCCATCTGGGTTCAGAGTATTGAACTTAGGTTATCAGGCTTGGCAGCAAGCACCTTTCCCCACTAAACCACCTCAGCAGTCTGTACATTATTAAGATACAAAATATTAAGGTGTGAGACTTTGAAAAGGGGCGAAAGAGATGGCTCAGTGGCTGAGGGCATGGCCTGCTCTTTAGGTGGACCTGGAGTCCAGTTCCCGGCATCCACCTTGGCTGGCTCACAACCATTTGATTGTGACTCTAACCACAGGGGTCTGTCATCCCCGGCCTCTGTGACACCTGTACCTACATAGAGACCCCCCCCCCCCCCCCGCACACACATAATTTAAAATAATAAAATAGGTCTTTAAAAATACAAATGACAGCAAAGTGGAAAGATGGCACACATAATACTCCAAAGCTCTGCCTGGTAGGGTTCAGGGAGAAAAGAGCAACAAGAGGGCTATCCAAACACTACGTAAAGCTTCTACTTTGTTCTGAGGCAGAATCTTATGTAGCCCAGTGTGCCTCAAACTCACTATGTAGCCAAGGATGACCTTGGACTCTCCTAGATCTTCTTGCCACAACTTCTCAAGTGCCGAGATTAAGAACACACTCAACCATGGCTGGATGGGAGCTAACTTTTACAATGACGAGTGAAGCAATAGCAGCAGCAAGCACGGAGGACAGTCAGTCAGTTGATGCAAGTTAGGGTAGAGGGGATGTGAAGAGCTGAAGAGAAGGACAAAACAAAAATAAAAGAAAAACATGGACTATAAGTCTGGTAATGTCAAGACAGCCACGAAGGCCTAGAGTGTTAGTGGAGGATAGAAGGCAAACAGAGCGACCTACACAACACAGAAATGAATGTGTTGGCCCAGCTGGGCCCACAGAGCCCCATGGCTGAGAGCAGAGGAACAGTGTGGAACCCAGAGCAGGGCTCTGAAACCAGTCTTCCTTGTCTTGGAAGCAGCCGGCACACCTGTCCCGAGAATGATTAAATTCACCACATTGCTGAACCCTGAGTCATGTCATCATGATCTTGGGTGTAAGTAGCTGAAAGGTATAAACAAAGGTGCTTGGAATTTTTTATCTGGTTTCTACATACTTGTAATTCCATTTTTATCTTTCTGCCTGCTTGTGTGTGTGTGTGTGTGTGTATACATATATGTTTGTGTGTTTAAATGTATATGTGTGTTTAAATGTATTTAATGTGTTTAAATGTATTATATATGTGGTGGTATGAGGTTGACTTGGGAGGCTTTCTTCATCGATTTCATTATTATCTTCACTGTCTCATTATTTATTGAGACAGTGTCTCTCACTAAACTCAAGTTAGCCATATGGCTAGTCTAGGTGCCAGCATGTTCCTGGAATTGCATCTCTTGCCTTCTGAGCACTAGCATGACAGGTAGGCTTTCACAACAGCCCAGCATTTAGTTAGGTTCTCTAAACCCCTGGGCCAGCTAGCTCCCTGGCCTCCAGAGAACTGGATCAAAGCTGTGGCTCACCTCCTACAGAAAACCATAAAGACACATCTGAAGACCATGGCGTAAGGTTAGAGATCCCTGCTGGGGCCTAAACAGTGGTGCATTAAAGACACATCTGAAGACCATGGAGTAAGGTTAGAGATCCCTGCTGGGGCCTGAACAGTGGTGCATGCCTGGAGCCCAGCTGCTTTGGATGATAAAGAGTGGAGTTACCTGAATCCAAGAATTCAAGTACAGTCTAAAGGGGGCTGGAAAGATGGCTCAGAGGTTAAGAGCACTGGCTGTTCTTCCAAAGGTCCCGAGTTCAATTCCCAGCAACCACATGGTGGCTCACAACCATCTGTAATGAGATCTGGTGCCCTCTTCTGGCCTGCAGGCTCACATGTAGACAGAATAATATACAAATAATAAATAAATAAATCTTAAAAAAAAATAGTACAGTCTAAGTAACATGGTAGAGGGAGGGTTGGGTCCCAGATGGTCTGAACATCAGCAGCAGCTTTGAAGCCCATGAAATGCCCACTGGTGGGAGGGTTACCAGAGAAAATCCTTCCAAAGAGACAAGAGAGTGACCAGATAGGACACTGCTCTGAAAACCAGTACAAAAGCAAACTAAGTTGGAGAAAAAAAGAGACAGAGAAAGACAGACAGAGGAAAAGACTGATTCATCTTTATTTATTTGCATTTCTTGTATGTGTGTGTGTGTGTGTGTGTGTGTGTGTGTGTGTTCACTGTATGTTTGTCTGTGCACCATGTACAGTGCCTGCAGAGGCCAGAAGGAAGTGTCAGATCCCCTAGAATTGGAGTTACACACTGTTCTGAGCTCCATCCAATGTGGGTGCTAGGAATCGAACCTGGGTCCTCTGGAAGAGCGGCAAGTGCTCTTAACTGTTAAGCCATCTCTCCAGCTCCAATTAGTTCATTAAAAACAAACAAACAAACAAACAAACAAACAAACAGTGCTAGGGTTCTCTGAGTTGGCCAACAGGAAACAAGTAAGCATTCCAGTTGTGAGACAGGCCAGAAGGAGCTGGAAGAAGAGACCGGAAATAATTCGGAGCACTATGGTCCCATCTTACCTGCAATAGTTATGCTCACCCAGACCTCCTTCCCCATTGGGATATTTCAGCGTGTTGTACGGATGCTGAAAAGTCTCATTCCAGAATAGGCATGGCTTCCCGCCTTGCAGTGCCGTCCAGCTCTGTGTTCCCCTATAATCTGCACCGTTGGCTGTGAAACATTCTAGGAGGAAAAAACAGCATCCTAATTTTCTGGCAACATTTCTTGTCTCCCCCTCTCTGGTGAGTTTTATGTGTTTTGTTTGGACCAAGCTAGAAGTGGATGGTGCTTTGCTAGACCCTTGGCGGCTCACTGGGCCGAGCGGGTCTGCAGAGGTGCAACACTGACTGTTGGCACCAGCTTGTGGGGGCACTTTAGTCTACAGGTCCCAGTGAGGATAGACACACAGAGCTGAAGTGTAGTGGAGTTCATGAAGGGAGCCAGGGCACCCTAAGTCTAGAATAGTTGCTCACAGCCATGCACAGGGAATTCTGGGCACTCGGAGGGGGCCACTGCTCTCGCCTGCTCTCGTCTCTGTGTTAACTAGAACCAGGTCACCAGCTGTAACTGAGCGCTCCCCTACAGTCTGAAAAGCTGAACTGACACTTGGATTTAATAAGGCCATCGGATACAGCAATGCTTTGGAATCCCAATCACACAAATCTGGGAATGACTCACATTCCCTGGTAATGAGGAACAGTCCTCCCTGCCTTGTCTGAGGTGCAGCAGAACAGAGGGAGATGGAGGGCAGGGCTGGCACTTTCTCTCACCTCACCCTGAAATGATCTCCTAGAAAACATGGAGAAAATGGTCTCAGGTCCCACTGTATGAAATGACAAATCTTGCAGGTGCAATCATGCTCTTCTAAAATCTGTTCTCAGACTCTGGGGGATGGGACTGAGCCTGCCAGGCTTCCTCCCACATCTTGTATGCATTAAACCCACAGAGGTTCATGAGAAAGGCAGAGTACAAAGAGCAATTTTTAAAAATTAGCTTAGTTGAAACTGACAGATAGAAGCACTTCAAACACTTCTCTAAGATGTATCACTAGAACCCTGACAGTCTAGGGGAGTGACACCAACATCCTGCGCTTTCCTGCTTTCTTTCTCCAGGCACACAGTGACCTGTAACTTCCGGGAATGAGGACGGGATGCCGCCTCCCACTGGAAAGTGCACACGCCTGCTCTAGACTAACAGGCATGTAGAGAGCAGGAGCACAGCTCTCCTCCAGAAGACATTTCTTGGACTATTTAGAATCCGTCCATAGAACAGCTTTCTTCCAGGCACACCGGCTAGGCTCTGTGTTTTGTCTGCAACGGCACCACTTATAGATAGCTCACGTAACCTGGAATTCTAGGAGACATGGGAAACCATAGCAACTTAACATGCCTGGTGCAACATTCACTTATTAAGCGTGAGTCCCCAAGTACCACGAGGGCTTTCTCCTAGGGGTCTGCATTAACAAAAAGCTCAAGGGTGATAGGCGATGGCAATTCAGTGGAGACTCACAGACCCAGACCAAGGGCTTGGCTTTGCCTCCCCATCTTGGGTTGCTGACCGGCTGTGACGGTGGGTGAATCCCACCATTCTCATCAGTTCTAGTCTTGAACAGTGTTTAAGCGTGCAGCAAGCTGCTTTAGCACACCCCTCTACACAGGAGGCAGCCAGGGCACTCAACCACATCCCCCAGGCCTCCTTTCTCTCCTGTCTTCTTCACCCTACTTCCACGTGACTGCATGACTTCCTTTCCCTCCTCAGCTTAGCACCTCGGTCTTGGTTCCATTGATCAGGAGGGAGCAGTCAGTTCTCACCGTTTCTTCTTCAGTTCCAGGACCCACTCTCCACACAGAACTCAAAGGTCCCAGGAGAAGGAAGGTTTGTCTTGGGGTGTTTTTGAGGCCTCTCTGCTGTAAGCCCAGCTCTTCTCTTAGTCACTCAGTGTGGTCAAGCCACACTGGTCTACTTTTAATCCTGGGAACACACTCTTCCATTTCCTGCCCAACTGTTCTGCCTCTAGTATTTTCAGTTGCAAGATCAACATTGCCTCCTCAGAAGCCCCTTCCCATCTGTGCTGGTCTCTGCCTCCTTCCTTTGTCCACAACATTCACCATCACGAGGGCTATAAATACATTTGGCCCTAAATCCAGGTTGCAAGCTCACCGACTCAACAAGCCCCCCCCCCACCACCACCGCCACCCTCCTGGTGGTCACTCCCTGAGCACTAAGATCTGACAGCTACTCACACAGCGTTCTAACAGCTTGGGTATTCTAAATAATCTAGCGATGACTTAGAGCGTGTGAAGGGCGTGGAGGTGACAAGTACATGCATTGTGGTGCCCTCAGGGGCCAGAACAAATACCGCACAGGTACCAAGGGACAACTATATTCGAAGGGGTGGGAGGAGGGGACCTGTGCACGGGGTGCTCCACACCAGAGCCCATTCTGACCTAGGGAAGTCTGTTGTCTAATCAGTTTTGAAGTCACAAGACTAGATGATTCTACGAATATCACACCAACCTCTGTCAGTGGCTACAATTTTAATGGCTGTGTTAAAATCTTTTTGCCCTATCTAATCTTTTAGACATCAAAAACATTATGCTGCAGGGCTGGGTGTGCTGCTAGACACCTTTGCTCCCAGTATTCCCAAGGCAGAGGCAGGTGGGTGTCTGAGAGTTTGAAGCTATATAACCATAGCATTCCATAACATACGTTATGTTGCCTACATTAAATATAGACCTGAGGTGGCCTCCAGCACCCAGATGGGGCAGCTCACAACTGCCTGCAATTCCAGATCCAGAGAGTCCAATGTCCTTTCCAGCCTTTGCAGGCACCAGCACACACATGGCATAATCCCACGCACAAACACATACACACAAATAAAAAGAAAACCAAATCTAAAACACCAAAAAATGAAAGCAACAAAAAGCAAGTGTCAAGCATCGTAGCATTGGGAGACGAGGCAGGAGGGGCAGGAGGTCTAGGTCATCCTTGGCTACAAAGTCAGTTAAAGTCTGGCCTGGGCTGCAAGAAACCCTGTCTCAAACAAGCAAGCAAGCAAACAAAAAAGGCCAGTGACTCACAAGCCATCAAAACAGGCTGTAACAACCAATGGCCTCAGCCGTGGGTCCTGTTCCCAAGGGTTCAGATGATTTTATTTGTAACACAAAAGAATGTGCCATGAATGGGGTTGAGACGACATTTAACAGCAGGAATTCGGCAGTGAAGTCTTTTCTGGTTCAGTTTTTTTTTTTTTTTTTTTTTTTGAGACAGGATCTCTGGTAGCTCAGGCTGGCCTAGAACTAACTATGCAGCTGGGAATGACCTTGGGCTCCTGCGCCTACCTCTCAAGCATTAAGATCACAGGAGTGGGAGCCCACTCAGGAGGTTCTCTGATCTACTCTAAATGAGCCTACTAGATTTTTAATGACTTTTTTTTAAAACCAGATTTGCCTAGTGCATGTCAATGGTGAGGAAAAGACAAGAAAAACAAACAGCGCTCTGGACTGAAAGTTATCTGTACATCTTGATGTCATCAGGGTGTGGACGAGGTAATGAGGACCCTTCCCTACTGCTATGAAATTAACATAAGCTTTGTCTAGATAGGCAAGGAGAGGCTCAAAATCAAAGAAAATCACTTAGTACCTTGCATATTCACATTTTCAGTAAAAGAGAATGAGTAAAGGCAAGAAAGCCAATACCTTACGCGCCTGCACCACCATTCACGAATTAATTCAACATTTATTCAGTCCTTACGGTTTCCCAGACCTACAGGGAATGGACAGTGGATTCTCGTTGTTTCTATAGAACAGGGAACACAGGTTCATAAACCCAAGTCAATATCAGACAGTGGTCAGTGGCATGAAACAGATGGGTCAGGCCGGGCCTGGACAGAAGTGGCTGGCTATCTGAGCAGAGGTGTGAGGGAACTCACTGGAGAAGAGTAGGGAGATCACTGTGGGCAGGGCAAGAGGAGGACAAACCCTGGCCAGCAGCACAGTGCCCAGAAAGCTGCGGCTCCTCCCTGACAGGCGGGTGAGTGTGGGAAGGGCCAGCAAGGCCAGGACAGGCAGGGTCTTGAGGGTTACACAACATAGGTCCACACTTGAGTGCACACACATCAAAGCAAGGAAAAAAGAAGTGAGGAAAGAAAGAAATGGAGCAAATTGTTCTCTGATCAAAATCCAGCTGTCAGTGTGCTAAAACATACCTTCATTTGTATATCCCACTTAAACTACATAATTCAAGAGTCACACTTACGAAGAAAACACAAAAACACATGTGCTGCATTTCAAATTTCAGGTGTAAGCCAAGTGTGATGGCATACAACTCTAATCCCAGCACTCAGGAGGCAGTGGCAGAGGCCAGCCTCATCTACAGAGTAAGTTCTAAGACTGCCAGGGATACAGAGAAATCCTGTCTCAAACAAAACAAAACAGAAACAATCCTGTGTAAAACTACAAAAGCCAACAAGCTTTGGGCCAGGTGTGTAGACAAAGAGTATCTCATAAAGCCACAGAACAAACACACACAAAACATGTACCCCAAACTATCCCAAAGCAGTTAACCCACCAGAACCATCACAAGAGAAAGGAGAGGCCTGCATGCTCTCTGGGCCTTCTAGAAGTCACAGGGTATTCCTGAGGCCACACTGTGTGCATCAAGGGAATGGGTGCTGCTACTTAGAGAAGAAACACCTGCAAATGCTGCCATGGCAAACTAGAGTCCACAGTGGCATTCATCATGGGGAAGGAAGCACTGGTCACTGAGGCCTGGTATCTGAGGACTTTCCCTTTTCCCTGTACTATTGCTTTGCCCCATGTACCAAAGCAACAAGGCCAACAGACCTCAGACTAGAGCCTTCAAATGTGACCCCAAATAAGCCTGTCCTTTTGGTTGGTGATCTCAGACATTTGCTGCAGTAAAAGGAAACTGCTTATAAGATGGATGTGGAGGCCCATGCCTATGACCTCAGCACTTAGGGCGCTGAGGCAGGAGAAGCACTGGGGCTTCCAGGCGGGTCCAGACAGCATGGCGAGACCCTCTCTCATAGAAGCCAACCCAGGGCTTAGAAGGTGGAGGCAGAGTGCTTAGTTCAAGTTCCTCCTCAACTACAGGGTAAATTCAAGGCTAACCTGGGCTACAGAAGCCTGTGTCTCAACATAAACACCTAATATACTACATGT